CAGTAAGACAGCTTGGGGGATCCTGGCACAGCTGATCGTCGGAAGGAGAGAAAAAAAAAAAAGAAATACCTTAAGGAGTGACTGGGCAGGGGAGAATGCAGTCGGCATGTTGGGCATGCACGCGATGTTGCGCATACACGATAAGGACTGGGCGGGGAGGGGAGGGTGGAGAGGGGCGGGGCCAGACCGGGGCACGATTTGCCGGTTCTTCAGAAGAAGGATGAATGATTTTTCCACAAATTATGTTTACCCCACACATTTTACTGTGTCGTGACTTTTGAAAAAAACAACAACACACACACATTTTTTTCTTTAAATCAATACTTCTATAATCGTTTTCTTTCAAATGAGGTAGGAAATCCTTCCAGAAATGATATTATTTACAGTCTGACAGGGAGAATAGAACCATCTTAAATGGAATTAAATGGAGTTTAATCAACTAAACGGTGTCTTAATTTCAAGACACCGTTTCCCTATTCAGGGACGATGGAGACCCCAAAAATGTGGAGCCTTAGCCAGTAGAAATCATGTAAATTTACCTTTTTTGAAAGTCTTGTTAATATTAGTTTGCCCCTCAGCAAAGCTTTTATCTCCTTCAACGTAGGGGAAGACTCTCCCCTGATGCACCCAGTAGTAATCATGTGAACCGAAGAAAAATACCGGGAAGTCCCCAACATCATGCTTGAGGCCCTGGATGTTGAAAGGAACAGATCTCGGATTGCATATCTCAGCTGGCCACCACCTAGGAGAATGAGGAATTGGGAAAGGTAAGGATAAAAGGTGAGAACAATTGGAAAAGCAAGCAGTTTGTTTAGATTTCAGTTCCTCAGCCAATTCCCATAGATTAATTTACTTCAATACAGTCTTACACAATTATTCCCCCATCAGTTATCTAGTTGAATACAGGTAGTCCTTGACTTACGAAAGTTCACTTAGTGAACATTCGAAGTTATGACGTCGCTGAAAAAAAAGTGACTTACCACCGTTTTTCAGAGTTACGAATTGTTTCAGCATCCCCAGGGTGACGTGATTTACATCTGGATGCTTGACAACTGACTCACTTTTGTGACGATTGCAGTGCCCCGGGGTCATGGGATCAACGGTGGGGACGCCAGATTCACTTAACAACCGGGCTACTAATTTAACAACTGCAACCATTCACTTAGCAATGGTGGCAGGGAAAGTCGTAACGTGGGGCAAAGCTCACTTAACAAATGTCTCACTTGGCAACACAAATTTTGGGCTCAATTGTGTTTCGTAAGTTGAGGACTTCCTGTATATCAAACTCTGTGTCAAGTTAGCTCTACTGATATCTGTCAGAGTATATTCCTGAACTGGAATAGAGCTTAGTAACAAAGTCAGCCAATTAACAGGCATGGCAACAGAGCAGCCAACGGGAGCTGAATTGGAAAGTGAAACTAGAAGTAGCCTGGGTTACTACTCTCAGTTACTGGGTTACTACTCTCAGCTCTAAACTGAAACTAGTTTTGCTTGCCTGCTGAACTAAAGTGAAACTGATATCTGCTCTGAGCTACTGCAGCTTGTTTTTGCTTATGTTACGTTGAAAGAATCTACAAATGGTATTGTAAAGTTTAATCATATTATTATGTTTATAAAGAAGTTAATGATCCCGCTGAACCAGTCATCTGTGTGTTTTCTGGACTTTATGCGGCAAATTCTAACAATATCCTCATTCAAAGGATGGGACCTAAAATAAGTGACCTCCATAAATACAAACAAAAGATTATTGTTCAATTTTACTAATAAATTAAAAGAAGCCACCGACCCTCAAGAACCCTTTTTACATGAACGTCAAAGGCTGTATGTTCAGCAGTGCCATTTGTGTGCTAAAAGTTACATGATCAAAATTAAGGTCAAAAGTGAATTTTTGAAAAATAAACGAGTAAGTCTAAGGGCAAGGTCTCTGAAATCAAGTTTCCAGAGTCGTTGCACTTTATAATACTGGTATGATGATGAAAAAAAAAAAAGATTGTTCATTGGCTTTAAGGTACCTGTAATTTCCAAGCTTGACCCAAACGATCTGCTTGTATCGCAATTTCTTGCCAGATTTGCAATCGTTACAGTTCCAGGAACCGCCTGGCATCTCTATGTTAAGACATTCCGGGTGGAAGGATGCAGGACAAGATTCACAGCACAACAGCTTCCCACCTTTAAGGCAACAACAGAGCTCACTTTATAGTTAAAGGAAACAAGTAGTGCACATGGCTCTGCAGGGTTGTTGTTTTTTTATTTAAAATATACATTATGCATTGGGATTTGCCATGTCATCCAATATGAATGGCAAAATGAAAGGATCAGGTCAGAATTACAATGCCGGATTTAAAGCACTTATTTTGTTGGTATAAAATCAGTCAGACCAACTTCCTAGATGAAAAACTTAAGTGGGTAGATCACATTCCGTTTTGTTTGTTTGGATGATATAGTTAGACGGGTGCATCTTTTCAAAACGCTAGTATTTAAATATGACAAGCTGTTCAGGGAGTTAATTTTCCCCAACAGTCTGGACATAAATTCTGTTTTAAATCTGCATTGTCATGACCGGATCCCTTAGCAATCAGTTAGTGCATGTAAAATCAGCCTATAGGTTGATCAATATTGTTCTGTTTTAAAAAAATAGCGTATTAGCAAAACAAATCCAAACATTTTAGAATTCCAAATCATTCTTGTCCCTTCAAAATGAAGCATTATAATATAATTATTGATATAGACTGAGCTGATGAAAGTATTATCAATCTTTTAAACCAGGGGTCTCCAACCTTGGCAACATTAAGAATTCTGGGAGTTGAAGTCCACAAGTCTTAAAGTTGCCAAGGTTGGAGACCCCTGATTTAAACTATGATGTTATATATTTTTTTCATGGCATATACAATAATCCTTTTTTGTTTTTGTTTTTTTCCAGATCTCAGCATAGTATACTGGTGTATCTGCATCAATTTGAACATTTAAGTATTGTGATCTTCACACCAGTATTGTAAACAAACCAGAGTTGAGAGATCAGGTTTTGTTGTTTTTGTTTTACTTCTGTGCTAAGTTCAAATAACTTTTGAAGCAAGAAGGGAATTTCACTTGTTAAAAGGCTGAAAACTTAAGAAATGGTTTCTTGGGCTGTCTATTGATTTTCTTTCAGTCAATAACAAGCATCTTTAATAAATCTAAAAATGTAGAGCATTTAACACTTGAAGGGAATCCTCCCAATAATTTAGAAGATGGCATTTAAATGTTTTTTTTTAAAGTATTGGAAAAAATTTAGATCATTTTCTGAAAATCTGTCAGAAAATGTTGTCCACCTATAGACTTTAAAAATCTGTAATTTGCACTGATTGTTACAAAGCTTTATACGTTGCTTAAAACAACGAAATCATTACTATATTTCCTCTGCCATGAAATGCAATGAAATCCAAATGTTCGGATCGCCAGGATCATTCCAAAAATCCCAAAATCAATTTTAAAAGCATTGAAAGTTATTTCAGAGGAAATACAGCCCCAGTCATTCAAACGATACCCAAACAGCAGAATGCCAAAAGATATGGAAAACCAAGCAAAACAAATAAAACCACACAGATTTTTTTTTTCAATGCTAAGCAAGGAAACTTGGCTTTTACAATGCATTAGTAAGATTTTTCTGCAGCTATGAAAGAGGGCTCAAAATAATTGATCGTCTCTTGCCCTCTTGGTGAGAGAGAGAAAGAGAGAGAGAGAGACTCTTTTAAATATGCCAGCATGGTAAGTCGCAGGCTTTATAAAACATTCAAGAGTCAATAAAATCTTCTCAAACTTGGCAGACCGAAACCCCCCCCTTTAGTTTGGACAACGCTCCCAGTGTAGGCAGTCGATATGGAGCAGGCTACTGCCCATGTTCATTTGATGCATACTATCTACATGCATGAAGTGGAAGGGAAGACAAATACATCAACGGGATATAAGAAGCACACTGCCGCTATCCATAGGTTTTTTTACAGTTAGAACTTGTCCGAACAGTTCCCAAACTATGCTACCCTGTTGTGTGTGATCATTTTATGAAAAAGATACCCTGACCTTGGGCCAGAATCAGGTAGCTTGTCACTTAGGTGGAACCTGAAATATTGGGCATCCCCTTTCCCAACTGTGAATTTCTACAGGTTGATATGAAGACTTGCAATAAGTAACAGTCAATCCCTCACACACGCAATTCTATAGTACTAGCCAATTGACACTGTGGGACCAGATTTAGTTAAGCCTTCTTCCTATTAATAGCTATCGCTCGATATTTAAAGCGTTACCTATAAGGCTTCCAAAGAATTGCAAATAAAAAACATGGCTCTTCAGGAGTTATTCTATCACTGGCTGGTGGTGTGGCTCTATGTGATTGCGATTATTTTGCTGGTTTGTTCTCATTGACTTTAACTCTATGTTTATTGATCTGTTTTAAGATGCTCAGAGCCCTTTGGCAGCTGAGGGGCACAGAAACAGAAATAAGTAAAGTGAGTAAGTGGTTTAAGGAATACCCCTGTAGGAAGTACGCTTCCAGGGAATGATGGAAGAAGGGAAATAGTTTATGTCTATGTTATTCCATTAGATGAAAATGTAGGAGGCTGTAAATACCAGCCAAAAGCAATCCAGCTCCTTAAAGTACAATAAAGTCTCCCAACGTGGCCATTTTAAGACTTGTGGATTTCATCTCCCTGAATTCTCCAGACAGCCAGGCTAGCTGGGGAATTCTGGGAGTTGAAGTCCACAAGTCTTAAAGTGGCCAAGTTGGGAGACCCCCTACAATAATGTGTTTAAAGGCCTTTTATGCCTAGAAGAGGCAGAATATGTTACATACTGCAGGACCTAAGGTGAATCTTCCTTCTGCCAAAGTAAGGTCATTGGTAAAATGAGAAAGCTATCCAGTCAACAGCTAGCTATAAACTGGCATGCCGAGGCTGCACAATTAGACTGGGGTCATATCTGGAAATTCCAGGCAGTCTACTCTTAAGCTGTAAAAGAATCTGAATAAGACCCAAAATGGACAATAGCTCCTTTAGTGTGGTTAATAGACATGATAGATCTAAACAACAGAAAGACCCTGCAGAATCTCTATAGGTCTACAGTTTTGCCTCAGGGTTTAGGAAAGGTTGCTGGGTTGGATAATCATGCACAAGTCTATGCCTGAGTGGAATTCAGTAATTATTTTAAGCCCCATTTGGAAGATTTCGGCCAACATGAATACACGTTCAAAATAAGCAATGAATGAAGTTTACAAAGCACAACGAGGAAGTGCCAGATGAGCATACAAAGCTTTGGTTTAGTTTAAAAAAAAAAAAAGGGAGAGGAAGCAAACAAAAAGAAAGAAAAAGCAGGAAAAGTGACAGAAAATCAAAAAGAGAAAGCAACAGAGAGAGAGAGAGAAAGAAGCTATTTTGGTTACCTTTCTCACATTTCTTTTTGGAAGCTGACGAAGAAGGAGGAATCATAGGTAATTTCATCAACTCAGCACGATTTGATTCATTCAGTAGATAGTGAGATTTATTGGCATATGAACTGAACAGGGGGTCTGAATGATCCTGCACTATCAGCCCTATACGAAACAAACAGAAAGAAATGAGTTGCGATGAAGCTACCCATGATTCCATAAGGAGAGAGGAAAAAAAAAA